GTTTTCTTGCGTGGCTGGATGTTGGAATCACGTTGTTTGCATTCGCTCAAACTGATTTGCTGAAGTCGAAACAGGGTCGTTAAAAAACCCAACTCCGTTAGCGCGAGTCCCGCTCGCTGTGAAGCGGGAGCGACCAGCCGGCAGAGGATTCCGCTTGGTCTTAAAGCCTCCCTGAAACGGTTATGTTCACAAATCAAACACTTGTCAAAAAAGAATGATTAATTCTCAATTTAGAGTTTGTTATTCGTATGGTCTAGGTGTTCATACGGCATATGCCTTAAATACGGGACAAACTGCGTTCCGTATAGCTTTCATACGGAACGCTTCTTTGATGCCTTAAATACGGGACGATTCCGTATTATACGGAACGGTTGGCAACCCTAGCTGGGACCCACATACCGGTATATCTTACCTGATATCCCTTATTAACTATTCTTGTGTTTAATTGAAGCACTTCATACAGGATATCTTGCCGAGCTTTTGGGTATAAAGGGCTTCCAATGGGGGTCCTTTTTTTCAGGCGGAAAGTTGACGGCATTTTAATTTGAATGTTTAATAAAAATGTAATAAACATTTTTGGAAGTATGTGGTGCGGAGTTTTGTCGATTGTGATCAATCTAAAAAGAAGAACAGTTTTATATAGTGTATATAGAGTCAGCACAAGTGGGACACTTTTTGATAAACTGTGTATTAAATACAAATAAATATATTCGACCAACACTTGTTATGCTTTAAACAAATTCTCAAAGTCTCTTGTATGTTTTTTTTTTTTTTTTTTAAGGAATATTGGTTGTTGTTGTTGTTGTTGTTTTTAAAACGTACAGAGATTAAAAAATGTTAAGTGGCCATTTTTATTCTTCAGGCTTTTTCATGTAAAATGGGACACATTTGTATAGTTTGTGCTTAGATAATACAATTTCCTACAAGTACAAATAATATTTTTTAAGTTGAAATTATTTCAAAATGTAAAATAAATACTTTATAAAAATAGACATACTAGTGGATTGTGCTATTGAGTGTAAAGCCATAAACGCTTAACGATTACTGAATTAAAACAGAAGCATAAATGTAAAGAATTATTAAAGCACTCCAACAGAAGTACAAAATTTACTTCTGTATTTTCTTTATAATTTAAAGATTAAAAGAACAGAAGGACAATAATAACTAGGCTAATTGAATTCAACAGAAGTACAATGTACTATGTAGTTTTAAAAAAAGGCCACAATTTCCTCTATGATGTGCCTGCTTGTGTGTGTGTGTGTACTGTAAGTGTTTGTATCCAACCGTGTGCTCAAGTGTGTGTGTGTAACACATGCTTTCATATTTGTGTGTTTATGTAGTATGTGGGTAAGTATGGGGAGAGCAGGCATGTGTTTATTTAGGCACTTTTTTACACCAAAATCTTAATCCTCAAAAAATTATTTTCTTTTTTCTTTCACTGACATGTCTTCTACCTACAGTTAGTGACATTTTCTGTAAAACAAAACAATTTCTCACATTAAGCAATGTATTATTTTTTAATATATAGGATGTCCCACTTTAGCTGAATGCAACTATTTTATCTAACATATTAAGATAAATTGGGACAGTAACAAAACTTGACATTTTTAAAAAATAAAATAAATAAACTTCCATATCATTGCATAAAATTGAATAATCACATGAACACATGTAATACAAGTAATGTAATTTATATTGTAGATTGAAATACTGTTGTTTGTATTGGAATTTAAACCTTAAAGGGGTCATATGATGCGATTTAAATTTTTCCTTTCTCTTTGGAGTGTTACAAGCTCTTGGTGCATAAAGAAGATCTGTAAAGTTGCAAAGACTAAAGTCTCAAATCCAAAGAGATATTCTTTATAAAAGTTAAGACTGGTCCACGCCCTCCTATAACGGCTCGTTCTAACACGCCCCCACATAGTTGCTCCGGCCGGACAGGGCATTATCACAGTATGGTAGGGGCGTGACATTTCCGTCACAGGCTTGAGGTATTCGGCCAATCACAACGCACTGGATAGCTGGCCAATCACAGCACACCTCACTTTTCAGACCGATGAGCTTTGTAAAAATCGACGCGTTTCAGAAAGGCGGGGCATAGAGGAGAAACAATAATGAACAGTATGTGGAAAATAATGTGTTTTTTTAACCTTAAATCGCATAAACATATTTCATTACACCAAATACACAAAATAATGTTCTTTTTAGCAACATCATATGACCCCTTTAACAATTTTAATAGAGTTAAACTATGGGCACTTACCATGTACTTTCTCAGACTTTCCAGCACTTGAGCAGTAACCACACCCATATGATTTACATTTGACCAATCAAATGTTGATATTCAAATTAAATACTTATGACATTTCAAGAGCACCCTTATATCAGTATTTTTTTTAAAGGAGCACTAAGCTTATTTGTCCCATTTTAGCTGATGTCCCACTTTTGCTGGTTTCACCCTAATGAGTCTGATTCTGTTGCTTGCAAAATTCCACATTCACAGATGCAAATATTCAAATTCTAGATCTCTCTTTTTTGTTTTCATGAAAGAATTTGAACAATACCTCACAGGCAGCGATTAAATTGTCAGAGAACAAAAAAGACATTATCTGTTTGAAATTATTTTCCTGTTTTTCGTGACAAAACTTTTTTTTTTTTTCAATTTACACCACATTAAATCCCCTTCTTTTTCTTTCCTTTTTTCTTTTCTGTTTTCTTTTGTTTCTTGTTATTTGTTACTGTCTGTATTTTTGTTTTATTGTAAAAAATTATTACACATTAATTTAAATAATGCACTAAATACACTATAATAATTTTAAAAACACAACA